ACAAAAATTTTGAATTTTTATAATATTCTTTTATTGAAAAATATGTTTTCGAAAAAATGAATTTTTAAAAAAATTGGGCTAAAATAAGGGCTAAATATGTATAAGAGACGAAATTCAAATTAGAGATGAAGTTTTAATTAAATTGTCAATTTATTAAATATTAATATAACGTAAATGTCACCTAATTCCAATCCATATTTTTTTGTGAGATTGCTATGATACCGTCCCAAAACAGTCCAAATCTTTGTGTCATTGCCACCTGCATAACTGCAAACAATTCTTAACCTCAAAATATAATAGAGGAAACATAATCATTTCAGATGAAATGATGATGGAAAATGCCCAGTGTACAGAGCATTTTCTCACAGAGGTTTTACAGGGAAAACATATAGGGGGATCCCATGTGAATTTTTTTATTGAGGTGGGCTCCACTAATGTGTGTATTCTGTGAAATGTCTGTATATTTTTCCGTAAGTGTAGCACTATTGAATGATGATTGACTTTTGGCACAGATATTCTTCTTACCTAGCAGAGCTCTTGGTTCTTTCTTGAAGTTTTTCAGCTTTATTATTATATTAAGCACATCCTATCTATGTTTTTAGAGCAATGCTATAAGTACAAAAAAATCAACAAAATTTTAACAGAAATAACACTTGACATGTTTTCATTGAAAGATTAAAAAAAAATAAAAATAAAAATAAAAAGCCAGTAGCTTGCACCCTGTCAAAAGCCTGTGAAAAAAGCCTAAAGCTTTTTCATGTTTTTAAGGTAGTTTGACAAATATATATATATATATATATATATATATATAAATTTTAATAAATTTTGATAAAAATTTGTAAAAATTGTAAAGTTAATAAAAATTGCGAATCACATTGTGATCAAAATTAATTGTTAAGTTTACTAAATTTTTACTAACTTTTAAATTTCACCAAGCAAGCACTTAATAATATTTCAAAGAAGTATTATCCCGTCATTAAGAGATATAAAATAGAATTGAATTAATTTACGGAGTCGTCTTGTTGTCATGTGTGTCTTCTCGTAATATGATCTAGAATTTAGTTTATAGAATGGATTTAAGTTTAGATAAATTTGGTTACAACTTAATGGTGCTAATTTTTTATCACTTAGTTCAATTTTTGGTTAAACTTAAAAGGGTATTTATTAGAGAATGCTTAAGTTTTCAAATATAAACAAATTACTTATTTTTAAGAAGTCTTGCCATATATTAGGGTTGTACCCACCTCACCACCCAAAAATAAATAAAATAAAATAAATAATAATAATAATCATCATCATCATCATCATCAATTTTATGATGACTTGCATTAAAGAAGTTAGTAGGTCGATGATCTATCACTGCATCTTGTCAATTATTTGTTAAAATATTAGAATTTCTATTTTTTTTTTCAATCTAATTCATCCATCATTACGAACCTAAGCCTATGTTTCGCTCATGTTAGACACTCGAGTTACTTTTTATCTATTACTCATTTCTATCATTTACAATTTAATTCGAATTTATAAACACTTCTCAAGAAACAATTTTTTGTTCATCCTTTAAATGAATTGTATTATGCTGTGATAATTAGTATCTTGTGTTGGCTGAAATATTTAAGATTATAACTACAAGTCTCTAAATTTAACAAGGGTGCACAATTTTTTGGGCCTAATTATAAGTAAAACTGCAGTTCTAACTCCTAATTACACGTCGATTGAGCACTTCAAGAAATTAAAAATTATAAAAAAATTCCAAATTCCCTTCACGCAATAGTGTTAGCGGAAAATTCCATAAGTAAGAAATTAAGTTTGGCATATTTCAAAATTAAGAAAATAAGTTTCAAACTTCAAAATTAGATTTTTATTAAAATTTATTTATGATTTAAGTAATTAATTAATTTATTTATTAATTAAATATATTTAGGTCACATATCTATACAATTTGATCACAAATTAACAATTTAATTAGTCACTTATTTTTTTTATTTTTTTTTTTGTCACAAATCAGAATTTTATGTCAAATTATTTTACAGTCACAATTCAAAAATTTTGTAGATCACGGTTTGTTCTTCTATCACAAATTAAAAAAAATAATTAGTCACAAATTAATTTTTAGTCACAACTTATCAAATTATTAGTCACAAATGAAAAAATTTATAGATCACACATTATTTTTCGATCACGAAATGAAAAAATTTATAGGTCACAGATCACAAATATTATATTTCACAATTTATTAGATAGATACAAATTATTAATTTTTTAAGTCAAACATTATTTCTTGATTACAATTTATCTTTTTCATTGGTCACATATTGTTTATTAGTCACGGATTATTCAATTCACTATTCACAATCAACCATAAAATCTGTGACCACCACAAACACTTATGCCACCATCTCAACGCTGTCTCCAACAGCACCACCACCACTATTACCACCAAAACTACTATCACATTGATTACAACTTTCAATCAATCAATAAAATCGTCACAAACACCCACACCCCATCCCACCACTCCAAAGCATCGAACCTCCGCCAACCACCGGCAACACCGCCCATCGCCATCGTGGTGAGAACCGTAGGACAAAGGCGTTGAGGTACTGCACACTAACCTACACCACCATCGTACCACAACGGCCAAATCCACCATCACGGCCATCACTATAAAGCTATCACCACACAAAGCACAACCACCACACAACACTACACAAAACACCACCGCTGCCACCAAAAAATATCCTCATACAAAACACCATCAACACGCTCAATTTCAGAACCAAAACCAGTGGCTGTGACCAAGAAAATCGTCGCCCAACCACCATCAACGCCGACACCACAACCACCAACAAACCCTCAGATCTGGCATTCTAAACATCTATTTAACTAATTTTCGACAAGGGTTTCAACAAGAATGGGGTCGACACTGCTGTTAGATCTGGGGACAAAGATCGCAATCCCGGTGTGCGCAGCTATTGGTATAGTGTTTTACATCATGCAGTGGGTCCTTTCGATTGTGAATGTCTCGTTGGAACACGTCGAGGTTGTGTCTTTGGGAAGCAAAAACAGCAAAAATGGTTGATCAAGGAAGAGAAAAGCAACAACACAACTTCCTGCTGCAGCGGCCAGAGAATGGCGAAATTAGGCATCTTCGTAGCAGTGGCCAAAAGGCTACGTTGTTACCAAAAAAGAGAAAGGGATAGAGAGAGACGAGCAAAGGAGAGGGAAGACATGGGTAGTGATGGCTGGGTAGTGGGTGTAGAGTTTTTATTTTTTTGGTAATCAATTTGTTTAAATAATTAATGAAAAAAATCTTATTTTTGAAATATCAAACTTTCAATCTGATTTGAGAATTTTGAACAATTAAAGTAAGATTTTGTGTAATTTCCACTAGTGTTAGAGATTCAAACACGATGTGCATAATTGTGAGGCCTCATATAAACAATGCTGGAGTTGAAATTTAAAACATGACAAGATCTCAAAGAAATATTTTATAATTCACCTTACCAAACAAGCTGTTCACATATAAAAATAAAAAATAAAAAAAATCTCATATATGCACGATAAAATTTTGTAGATTATAATTTGTGAATCCTACTAAATGGATAAATAGTGAATAAAAATTGCGAATCCTACAAAATATGGATGAAAGCAATATCTAAACTTAGCTTATATACATACTCATAATAATTTAGCAGCAAAAGCGGGGAAGATTGTAAATAGTTGAAACTCGGGAGGAAAAAATATCATTTTCTCACATTGTCTTATAGTACATCAAGGTATTCCTCATATTATAAAAGAAAGGCTCTCTTCTTATAAAGATCAACCTCCTTAAACCTGGGAAAAACACGATGATTTTCATGAACAATTCCTAGTTTGCGCGTCCAAGCAGTACAACACAACAAAATAGCCATCGAAAACAACACTCAGGCACTAGGGGCGTATTCCTGTATGATAGCTGCCAATTTATTCCGATCATCCTCAGTCTTAGTTCTCATCAAGAAAGTCCGTGCAGCAACTTCATTGTTGCTATCGCCATCACTCTGCAAAACCCATGTAAACTCATCCCTCAGAAAGTGATTATAAGTAGATAAAAAATGCTCAGAAAAACTTAGAGAAATCCCACAATATATTTTCCTATAGCTAGTTCAGCAAAGCTAAAAAATAATAATAATGATAATGATAATAATTGGAAAAAAAATTGGAAATAAGTTTGCTTATTTTGAAGGTAAGGTCAGGGTCACCTTAGAAATTTATTTATTATTATTTTTTTTAAATTCGTAAGAACAATTCCAAACATGTAAAAAAAGTTGATGAAAAAAACTAATCGTTACTTGAAAATAACTTATTTATAAGCTTAACTAATAATAAACTTTGTTCCAGAGACAAGCAGACGTGCTTCCATTGTTTTTCCAATAAATGAAAAAGGGAAATCTGATCAGATGGGAATGATACGACATATTTACACTAAGATCAGATAGTAAAAGAAGTATATTTTAAAGAAAAATAGAAGCACAAACGACAAAACAGATTGAGGATGCATACCGTATGAAATATTGCAACAACTGCATTCTTTTGCATGTTTGTCTTGATGCCTGGATATAACAATGCATTGAGCAACACTCTCCCGACCTGCAACAAGTGAACGACACTCAAAAAAAAAAAATAATAAATAAAATCATTAAAATGCACCCAAACAGGTACTACTGTTCCCCCTTAGCATGCATAAGATGCAAGAAATTCCAAAATGAACGTCTTTAGCTGAAAATTTTCTACTTCCACAAGATAAAAGATCCAATTAATCTGGCTATCCATAACAAAGATACGAGACCGTATGACAGAAGAATAAAGCAAAACACATTCATTAACACATAATGCGAGCTGCATTCAAGAGTGGGACCAGAATACATCAGGAGACCTACATCATTTCGTATAACGATTGTTGGCTTAGATTCTCTGGTCCCCTTGCTCACGCCTTCCTTACATTTGATACAAAGTTGACCCGTGCCTTTGTCTTTCCAAGCATCTTTGTCTGCTGGATCACTGGACTGGATATATGGAAGAAGTGAGTATGAGATTAATGCACCGAAAAGCATAAACACAATGAAACAGGTTGAGCATCTAAAGACATCAATTACACAATACAACTTAACAACCAATCACCATTTCAAATATCAAATGCACTATCTTGTACCCAAAATATCTACAACTATAGATTGGAACTACAGCATAGGATGTGTGGAATCTAATAATAATGCACACTTTCCCTTTGACTGCGGTTCAACCTTCGCAGTAGCCCTCCACTCCACCGACCAGTGTCCCAAAGAAAAAAATTTCTAGTGTGATATAGTTACATGGGAAATTTGCACGTGTATTAGGTTGCCTAATATTAAGTCCAACATTATCAAGGCAAGCCTCTTTTGTGGTAGAGAGAAAATAGAGAGGTGCGAGTCCAGAAACACACTGTAATCATCTCCTTATGACGAAATTTTACAGCCACATCAAGTGGACATCACTCCCGCATTGAGAGCAAAGCACTCAAATTCACATGTTTTTCTTGCTTTCATTTTCTGTTTCATGTTACTAATTGCTCTGGGTAGTACAGATTAATTGTTTAATCCATAACATATAGCACAGCAAAATGAACCTAAACATAGTTCAGTAAAAGGAGATATTGCTATTGTTAGCAATCAAGAACAAAAAGGTTAAAATGCTTTTCAATTGATTAACATTAGATAGTGCATTGCACACGAGTAATTTCTTTATCCACACTGATGAGAGTCAAGATGTGATCGGACATATCCATGCCAAAGCATGCATGAGTTCAAGTAGAATGTATACAGCAAGTTTAAATCCATAATGCATCCCATATTACTACTCAGGTCCAAAGCTCCCCCACCAAAAGCATATTGAATCAGAATGAAAGAATACTGCTGCTTTTAATGAAAATCTAGTAAACTGAACATGGGCAACACAATTCTATCTTATGATGGCATCTGCTCTCTATTTTGTCAGATTGATAATTACCTTCACATAAAGTTTGCATTTGACCTCATGTACAACATTAATTCCCTTCTCTTCGCTCTTTTTCACAGAAGGGCTGTTCGGCTGCTCGGCATCTTCTTCTACGTTACAAGAAATTAACAAAGAACAAAAAGAACAGAAAACTTAGAATAGAAACGAGTCTGAATTGCAAAAATTTCCTTCGGTAATTTAGACATATAAAAAGCATAATAATTAGCATAAAAACCAATAAACGCAATTTCCGATTGATAAACAAGAAATAAGCATTGCTGATAGTGCAGAGAACATTTATTGAAAAAATGTTCTGATCCCCAACCAGTGCAAGTTCAAAATATTATCCAGATATAGCCTTCTCACTGAAACAGTTGAAAACATCCAAGACAACTCTTGTAACATGATAAACTTGACCAAAATGAACTATAAACAGCATTTTTATTTTCTTCAATTCTAAAACTGTTAACTAGTATGTGAAATTATCCATTTTGCGTGGTGCAAAAGGATGCATTAATAGAGTATATGCTTCATAAAAATCATTTTTTTCATTAATTGAGGAACATAATACACAACAATTTTACTGGTAACAGAATTTTGTTGATTGACATGATAAGGTCATACAATTAAAAATGTTATGGGTTCTACAGACTTCAGCCACCATCCTCAGAAGTCCTTTGAAAGACCAATTGCTAGGGAAAATGAAGCTACCAGTTATTAGACTGCAAAGTAATGGTATAGATTAATCGTCACAAAAAAAAACCCTTCAAAAAGAGTCAACCGATTCATATACCACGTGGAAGCAAGCATTTCCCTATAGGTGACGTGCATGATGCCATAATAGGGAAGGTTATCTCGGGAGGGGGAATTTCAGGCTGTCCAGTTACATTTCTCAGTGATGCTAACTCCATTTGTACAGATTTTTCTGGTGGTAATATCCAATAGATGGTTTACGGTAAATATCAAATCAATTTCTATGACAACTATTATAAAATGATTCACTAAGACAAAAATTTCAAGAATATATAGTATGACAAATTGTTCCAGAATGACTGTTAAGGTTCATTATCAATTTAATAAAAACTCTCTCTCTCTTACCAGCATCTCCATCATTTGAAGCATCATGGTCCGGGAGAACTGAATTTTGATTTTCAGGAACTGAAACTTGGCTTCCTGGACAAATAAGGGTATTAAAAGTATAAATTATAATTATGAATAAATTCATTCATTTCCTATTCAATAACCAATTAAGCAGATGTTATGATGACCAAATGAAGAATAATTGAGTGCATTTGAAAACTTTAGCTTCATTTAACAACTAATAGCTAAACGTAATAAAATAAAATAGCAGCAAAGGCACAGCATAAAAATTCTAGTATTGTATTATCAATAAGCTCGTCAAATTTAAACAGCTATCGCATCCCGCATTTCTTCCACTTATTTTTGAAAGAAGCACTGAAGTACCAGTACCATATTCATAGCTATGTTCCACACACACATACACACACACAAAAGCCATATACATAACAATATGAATAAAATCCGCCTTCTAAATCACTTATCACGATAAAGGTCCTTAAAAGTTATAACAATTAAATTTCTTGAAAAGATTTATCCAGAATCATACCTCCAAAAGTGAAAGGCTTGTTATTGCTAAAGAGCAGTCCTGAGCTCCACGAACTTCCAAAGTTTGTTGTTGTGGCAGCAGGAGGAAACATGGGTTTGTCCAGTAATAACTTATTATTGTTGTCCTTGCTTTCAATTTCAAAACTAGGTTTCTTTTGAGCATCATTAGAACCCAATTCTGATAAACTCTCACCTTTTCCAGCATTTGCTTTCAGCCAGTTGACTACGTCACTAAATTTCTCCTGCAATCAAAGAATAGTTCGATAAATTATTACCTGCAGTATAATAGAAAGAATGACAATTTTATTCCCGAAGTTTCTTCAAACAGAACGCAATTTCTCTTCTGATCAAATAAAAATATGAGATGTAACCAAAAATTGAATCATTTCATAGTATGAAAAGATTTTCTACAAGGGAATAGAATCTGGTCTAATAGAAAAGTGACACTTAAATGAAACAAAAGGCATGAAAGTTCACTCTGTATAGGAGAAGTAGGGGACTTCCATGAGCATGCTGAAGAAACAGATTTGTGAGCCAAAGGAGATTAGTGATCTTATTTTGTGAAGTTTCATATCTTGTTTGTAATTCAAATACATTAAGATAACATAAAGGTGTTTGCTTATTAAAAGTAAAAAGGAAACAACTCCTGATTTAGAATTATTTGCATGTTAATTGATTCAAAAGGTTAGTCATTAGGAATAAAACTGGGTGAAGAAGTTGGTTTTGTGGTGGAAGAGTGTGCTTGGTTTCAAAAGATTCTAACAAATCAAAACACAAATTAGGCTAATCAGGATTTCTCGTAACTTATTCATTAATATAAGTAAGTTGCACGTGTATGCCAGCTCAATTTTTTTATTCTTTTGGCATGCAATGACAGGTGTAGCATGAATACGAGTTAAAGCTTGTTGAAGTATCACATCTCCAATTTTCTGTGCCTTTATTCAATGTTGCATTCAAACTTAAAGACTGAGAATTACCACATTAACCATTTTCAACAACAAAATGTCTGATCAAACGTACCTGGACATACTTGAACCGTTTAGACATATAAAAGCTAATAACAAGAAGGGCACCCAAAACGATGCCTTCACTAATTAACCGTGCATAATACAGTTCAAGTCTTCAGGTGTTATAAAGGGCCCAGGGATGCATTTAAAAGAAACTGACAAATTACCACAACGTTTTTTGCATGGTTTAGATAGTCCTGAACGCCATCTTCCCACAGCTCATCCGGATGGTCTTGCAACTGAGCTTGTACCCAGCTGCTCAAAATTAAAAGAATCTCTAAGGAAATCCAAAATTTCACATCAAATAAAACACATTTATGCGGTCATGATGCACAAAATTTTGGAGCTAGCCAGATGAACCAAGGAAAAGTTATTCGATAATCACTGAGTACTGAGTGGTTTATTCAGCTGTTCAAAGAAAAACATATAAACATAAAGAACTAGTATTTACTACTCTGTGCCTGACATAGTAAATTGCTGTCATCATTGATTAACTTTTCCACTAAAACTGATCAAAGTTACATACTCATCAATATTAACAAGAGTATTAATGCAGCCAGTGTGCCCAATATCAACACTGCTTTCACTTCTTATTAGGAAAGATCAAGTCTTGCACAATTTTCTTTATGATGCATTACAGTTCACAAAGTAAAAATGTTCATACAGGACTAGTCTTAACTTCTTACTACTTCCACTTCAAAGTAATGTACTAAGGTTAAAAGGAAAAATGTAAAGCTACTTTCATTCACCTTTTTGCCTCCAAACAAGTTTCCAAAACCTACTTTTAACTACAAAAAGTTACTTTGGTTAAAGTAAAGTAACTCAACCATCCCCAACTCCCATCAATAAAAAAATAATGTAATCTATTACTTACATTTTTACTTAAAGTAAACCTTTTAAGCTTAACCAAGCATGATTTATACCTTTCGAGCATTATTAACAAATATTAAGTAAAGAAAACTATCAAAGAAGCACAAAAGATGCTCAAGAAAAATAAAAGAAAAAAGGAAAAATATGGACCTTGCAAATTGGGTATTAAGAGCTCTCACATGCTGTCTTGATGATTCAGCCCTCTGAATATCCAATGGCGGCAGCTGCTTCGGCTGAATTGACGTCTCTGACCTCTGTGCATCAAACGGTGACCCCATTATTACTCTCTTGCTCTGCATCTGCACAACACCAAAACCTCAACATAAATTAATAAAGAAGAAACAATTGCATATAATTAATAATAAAATCCATTAAATAAATGTCTCAGTACGCAGAATCACAGAAACACTTACAAAAGAGTCGTTGGGATTGAAGATAGGATTTGAATCAGAAACAGCAAAACGTTTCGTTCCTCTCATTATCACTTTGATGTGATTGTATTTTTTGCTTATTTATTTGAAGAAATAGATTGAAATTTCCAGGTTTTGAATTTGAAAAATTAGGGTTTTTGGACGAGGAGAATAGAAGAGGAAAAAGGGGAAGAATTTATTCTTTTTTTTTTTAATTTTCTTTTTGGAAATTCTAGTGTAATTATTGGCGTATTTTATTTAGTGGGAAGGATGGGGTATATAGCCGTTAGATCAGGTAGGGCCCTGAAGATTTGATTTCAGCCGTCGGATCGATTGATTCCGAATGTGTGTTATCACATGGGCCACGTGCTAATTCGACTGCACATGTTTTGGTCCCATTGTTGGGCTTATGGAAGAGCCTTTATCTTGGGAAAATTACCCCTAACCATGATTTTTATATGGAAAAAATTCATAACTACAAATGTATCGAAATACAATTTTAAAATTAATAAATTTATGGAAAAATTTAAAGGTTAAATAGAATACTTGTGATCTCTGATAAAATATTATGATCTTTAATTCAATTTAGCAAATCATAGTTACAATAACACACAAATTTGGGTCACACACATATTAGTCACAAATTACACAAAATTGTAATCACATAATACAAAATTTATGGACCATAGTCATATATTTAGTCACAAATCATACATTTAACATGTCACAAAATATTTATTAGTCACAAATCACACATAATATGTTACGATCATTATTCTTGTAACCTTACCCGTATCTTATCCCTCATTCTTCGCCAGATTTCTTCTCTGCATGTTGAACTCATAATGTTATCTTGTGTAACATATACGTTAATCAGCTTGCCTTGGAGTGTATCCTTGGAAAAGAAGAAGTAAGCCATATCTAACATGTTCCCATGGTCCATAAATAGTAAAAATATCAATCTAATAAGGGACAACCCTTAAATCTCCTCTACCTTAAAAGAGCGAATCTCACTTTTACTATTCATTCTTGTAGACCTCATTTTCACACCTATCCAAATCTTATTGTTCACAATCGGTTCTTAATGTTCCCTCCATTAAAGTCTAAACGACTATGTTGAGGAATATGAAATCTATATCTATCCACATAAATATATGAAATCTATATCTATCCACATATATATATGAAATCTATATCGATCCACATAAATGCAGACATTTGAGTGATCTATTGCCATTTGCTGCCTTAACCCTAAACTCACTCTCTCGATCATAGCAAGAAATCTCAACACAATCTGTAGAGAACTCATACATATACTTGCAAGTATAATACTCACACCATCAATTTATTCCTCTTGTGCACGTTTCTTCCTATTTCTTCAATTGTATTGATGAACCAGCTATTTTTTTTCTATTTTTTGTTTGATCTTTTAAGAGATTGAACCTAAAATACCTAAATCTCTCATCTAAATCTCACCTTAAATTTAAAAGAGTGAATATGGAGATTACTGTTCATTTTTTAATCCCTTGTGTCCACACTTCAAAATCCATTTTTTATATCTAACTATTTAAGATCCTATTTCCAACCATCCAGCTATAAAGTATTCTATTATTTTATCTCTCATATATATTCCTATAGGCCTAAAACACTTTTGATATTAACACCCATAGTAATAGTAACTTCGAGACCCACAAAAGATTGAATCAAATCTAAGAAAGCCAATAAATCAAAGTCTAAAGTTTGATCCAAAATTATTATACCAAAGAATCAACACAATCACCGACAATATGTTGACCCTTGATCACATGATTTAAGAATCTCATTAGAATTGTTTGAACGCCACAAGAAATAATTCTCGATAAATTCATAAAATTAGTTCAATGAAAAACAAGGAATTAAAAGCAAGAATTGCTCACAAAATAATCTCCTTATTGAATGAATGAATGAATTTTTATAATGTAAATAATGAGTTATATTTATAGCGAATTCATAAACCCTAGTTAAAAACAAAATAAAAGTCTAAAGATTACGAAAGTTACCAAAAATTAGAAATTTAATATAACTAGGAGATTTTCAGAAAAATTGTGCGCCGAAGTGTACTATGGCCGTATAGTTACACTAGATACAGTCGCATAAAAGGCACCAAGTCTTCGACTGAAGTTGCTGCATCAAGGCTTGCAGCTGCATGCCTAGAACAACTATGCAACTCTTGGATTTCGCCGTCCTTTGCTTGAATCGAGTTGTACTACTTCGTTTCTTTTCGTGTCTTCTTCCATGCCCAACTTGAACTTGGTCGTCAGCTTGCTAACATCACCCTTTTTGGAATCCATAACTTGAACAAGTGATTGCATGGCTTTATTGACTCTAATTAATTTCGATCTTGACCTTGGCCTCTTCTCGACATACTTCAAACTCTTGATAGCTCGTTACCTTCCTTGGATCACATCATCCCCTCTCTTCAAAAGGATCTGACCTCGAATTTGTACCTGTATCAAATGAAGCAACATTAGAGACATCAGTGATATGAATTATAATACAGTTTCCTTGTAGATCCAAGTTGTAGCCATTGCTTTCAATCCTTGCAATGTCATGGAATGGTCCATCTCTTCTAATATGGAAACTTTGACCTTCTTTGTGTTTGAACACACCGTTTTTTTTTTTTTAAGTATCCAAACCTAATCACTTGGTTTATGTACCTTATGCATTTCCCGCTTGCTACCTTGTGATGCATATAATTTAATCCCCTGTTTTCCACTTAGGCTACCGCTTACAACAATAGTTAAAGGAATTAAACCGAACAAGTTAACGAATTAAAACCATAAACTATATCAAAATTAAAAAAGAAGTAGAAACTATCAAATTAGTTCCTAATACACCCCATCCAATTTTTCACAAATAGTTATGTAGATTACAATCAATATATCTCAAATACTCATCATGCACATCTAAATCCTTACTACAGACTATAGTATCATCCACAAGTTGATGTTCAATGCTTGGATTGGCTAGTATTACAAAAGGCCTATTCCCATAGACTAAGTCTTCAAAATCCCGTAAGACAGAAATATCCAAATTAGGAGAGGTTTGTTAGTCCTCACCAAAACACTCTCACTCTCATTCCTTTTACATAGAAACTCATTTTGAAGTTTTCTCTCCTTTTAGAAGATTATCTTTCTTTTCTCTCTTGTGGTTCTACTCTTTTTTCTCACATTTGGCCATATCACTATCTACTTTCTTACTCTCCATTTGCCTCTCTTTACTTTTCTTTTCCTCATCACCTCGTAATTTCAATTGACCATTGTAGACCTATTGTGATGTTAGAGGTACAAGAGTAACAACTCTTCCATCTTCTACAAAATCGTACCTTCCTATCATATTGTCATGCCCAACAAAATGTGCCCAGCATGCATAGGAACTACATCACATCGTCGCTATACCTACCAATCGAGAAATTCATCAAGACTTGCCTACATACCTTAACCTCTCCACATTCATCTATCCACTGCAATCTATAAAGCTTGGGATGTTTTGTCGTAGTCAATTCTAATTTCTAAATAAGTGTAGTACTAGCAAGTTTAGTACAACTACCCCTATCAATAATCAAACTACATACCTTGTTCCTGACATGGCACCTAGTATGAAAGATTCTCTCCCATTGTTGCTTCTCATCATCAGCTTTGATTTGTGTATTTAGAGCATGCACAGCACAAGTGCTTTCCCTACGACCGAGTACTCTACTCCATCACCAGTGTTCATGAAATTATTCTTTCGATTTGATTTCGCAAGTATATGGTTCACAACAAGTAATAAATTGTAAATTAGAGTCCGAATATCGTCCCACAAAAATTGAGTAGTTTAATTCTATCTATCTCGGCCTTAACCGAAATCGAGTTATCGAACGAGCTTTGTAGTAATTTAAATTAACCCTTACATAACCTATATGCAACTATGTATGACTTAAAAGAACTAAAATGCAAAATGATTGTTTAAATGTAAAATTGATGTAATCAATGAATATGAATTGCACTAGATCACGAATCTTCAAGTAATGCCCACTTTTAACCCTAATTTCACAAGTTGACAACACATTGAATTTTTTGAAGAATCAATGCTCCTAAATCCATCCAATAGTCTCTTTCAAGAAAAGATAAACCTATTCTCATATACCACCGGCCTATATCTCTATGACGGGTGCAAATATATAAGAATGCATGTGTGTTGGTAAGTACTTAAAAACTCACGCAAGGCATAGAGGTATATCTCCATCCCCTATCGAACCTACGATGATTTATACCCAGCCGAACTCATTTCCTTTCTCTCGAATGCATAAAATAAGTCACAACACTCACATAATTACGTGCACATAATTATAGAAACAATTAATCGTATATAAATCATTCAAAATTCAAAAACGTGTTTTGATGTCAAAATTGTAAAACTAGAAATTAAAAAGTTACATCAAAGGCTCATCAATCCCCTAGTACATGAAAACCTAGCCTCGCATGGATAAAATAACAAAATACACAATAACTCTAAGAAACAACATCACCGATGTAGGGTTTGCCGTGAAATTCTGTTGATCTTTGCGTTTCTTTTCGTGATTATGGTGTAGAATCTCCTCAAATATTTTTTTTCTCTCGCAAGGCATTCCCCTTTGAATATGACAACTTTAAGGTTTCTATACCACGTCCCGATTAGGTCCGTAAGAGTTTGCACGAAAAAAGGGAAACTGAACATCGCATCCCAGAAAACAACCATGCGACTGCATGGTTCAGCTTATAAGCCTTCATGGATGTTCTGACTATCACCATGCGATCTCTACCATGCAATCGCATGGTAGACCTATCTTTTCCCAAAAGTGACACTTAGGCCCCTAATCTTCAATTTCTCGCGTCATGGCCTCTTTTATCGTTCTTTCTTCTTTCAATACTTCATGTCTTCAACAAGTTGATCCTTGAGTCCTTCGCATCATTGTTCTTGCCTTCAGTTAATATTTTGGCTATTAACATTTTGGTCCCCGAACTTCGATTTGTTTTGTTTTGGCCCTTTTTCATGTCTTTTCTTGTGAATTTTATTATACCATCCATATGGCCCTACAAAATTTCAACCAATTTCATCAACTATTAGTCATGTTTTGTGAACCGAATAAGTATGTAAAAACGCAACTAGCACCCTTTAATTCAAGCATCTCATTTTCATCACTCACTACTTTTCCATTGACATGCAAGAT